CTACTTTGGACTCCGGAGGACGCTCCGGTCGAATAAAATTCGCCGCCGCACGAAGTTGACTGTCTACAAGATGCTGATTAGACCGGTGGTCCTCTACGGCCACGAGACCTGGACTATGCTCATGGAGGACCAACGCGGTGTTTTCGAGCGGAAGGTGATGCGTCACATCTACGGTGGAGTGCAGATGGATGACGGAACGTGGAGGAAGCGAATGAAACACGAATTGCACCAGCAGCTGAGGGAACCATCCATCGTCCACATTGCAAACAATGAGCGACTACGGTGGGCTGGGCACGTCGTAAGAATGCCGCACGACGACCCAGTGAAAATGGTTCTCGAAAGTGACCCAACAGGATCAAGAAAAAGAGGCGCGCAGCGGGCAAAGTGGATCGACCGAATGGATGGTGACCTGCGGACCTTTCGCAGTGGTTGGCGAAGTGTGGCCTTGGATCGAGTAGAGTGGAAACGACTTCTTTAGACACCAGAGAAAAACAAGACCTAGAGATTACGGGCCATTGTGGACGTTTTCACTATGTGTAAGTGAAGATATAAACGGCACTCTTAACCCACCGTTTCTCGTGCCAACTTTTGTAACACGAGTACTCACCCGTTGTACTTTGTACAACAGAGTGAGTTTTCCATTGCCATTTTGCAGTCGAGCTACCAATCGATATGAAACCAACGGGTATTCATTAAAAAACTTGTTTTGATCTAAACAAGCTAAACTTTTATCACCGTTAACCCCCAAAAAATGCGGATAATAGAGAAAATATGAATGGAAACCGCGTAAACGGTGTCCGTACTACGTGGGATTGGACTTAATTGGTTACAACATGGAAAATCTCGAGATCCTGACCAGATAGAAAGTTACTGTCATGGGCAAATTTGTTCTACAGTTTATAATCTTTTCGCTGGTGGAGAGTAGTTCAGAATTTTCTCACTACGTAGCGCTAGAGTACATGTGAAATTCTCGAATGTGATATATCTCGATAGAAAGTTACTGTCGTCGACAAAGTTGTTCAGAAGGTCAATGCTTTTTTTGTTGGTGGACAGTAGTTCAGAGTTTTCTCACTTCGCGGCACTAGTATACATGTAAAATTCTCACCTAAAATATCTCTAGATCCTTACCATATAAAAAGTTACTGTCTTCGGCAAAGTTTTTCAGGAAGTCAAGATCTTTTCGTTGATGGAGTAATTCAGAAAACTCTCACTACGTGGCGCTAGTATATACGTTCAATTTTCGCATATACAATAGCTCGAGATCCTGAGCAGATAGACATACTGTCTTCGACAAACTTGTTCAGGGTGTCAAGTATTTTTGGCTGGTGGACAGTGGTTCAGAATTTTCTCACTACACGGCGCTAGTATAAACGTGAAATTCTCATGTAAAATATCTCTAGATCCTGACCAGATAGAAAGTTACTGTCTTAGGCAAAGCTGTTCAGGTAGTGCTCGTATACATACATCTGTATCGCATGTGATACATCTGTAGATCCTGACCAGATAAAGAGTAATTCTTTTCTTGTGCAAAGTTTTTCAGGAAGTCAAGATCTTTTCGTTGATGGCCAGTTGTTCAGAATTTTCTCCCTACTCGGTGCTAGTATAAACATGCAATTCTCGCATATACATCGCATCTCGAGATCCTGAACAGATAGAAAGATACTGTTTTCGGCAAACTTGTTCAGAGGGTCAATACTTTTTAGCTGGAGGACAGTAGCCTAGGAATTTTTCACCACATGGCGCTAGTAAACGTGTACATTCAAAAAATTACTGTCTTTGAAAAAGTTGTTCATGAGGTCAATGTCTATTGCTTGGTGCACAATAGTTCAGAAGTTTCACACTACGTGGCGTTAGTATACACGCGAAATTTTCGCATGTGGTTTGTTACGAGATCCTGACCAGATAGAAAGTTACTATCTTCGACAAAGTTGTTCAGGAGGTCAAAACCTTTTTGGCTTGTAAACAGTAGTTAAGTATTTTCTCACCACGTGGCGTTAGTATAGATGTATACTTCTCGCATATGCTATATCTCGAGATCCTAATCAGATAGAAAGTTACTGTCTACAACAAAGTTGTTCAGGAGGTCAAGGTCTTTTGGCTGGTGAATAATAGTTCAGAATTTTCTCAAAAGCTCTATGCTTTAACCTCCGGAACAACTTTGTTCAAGACAGTAACTTTCTATCTGGTCAGGATCTCGAGATATATCACAGGCGAGAATTTCACATTTCACTTGCACTACGTAGTGAGAAAATTTTGAACAACTGTCCACGAGCAAAAAAATTGTGATATCCTGCACAACTTTGCCGACAGTAATTTTCTATCTGGTCAAGAACGTGAGATATTTTATATGCGAGAATTTCACATGTATACTAGCATCATGAAGTGAGAAAATTCTGAACTACTGTCCACCAGCTAAAAGACCTTGACCACCTAAACAACTTTGTCGTAGACAGTAACTTTCTATCTGATCAGGATCTCGAGATATAGCATATGCGAGAAGTATACATGTGGTGAAAAAATTAATAACTACTGTTTACCAGCCAAATAGTCTTGACACCGTTATGTCAGTTCATGCACTGTATTGATGATAATTTTGTCCTTTTTGACAAGTAATATTACACCATATTTTTGACACGATTGAAGTGCATCCACTTTGATGTGATATCAAAATTAATTTTTGATTGTGGTCATATAGGGGAATTCACGTATTCTCGGCAACCTAAGCAGCGACCATCATTCAATTGCCTTTTTCTCTAAGGAACGCACACATATGCAGTATTGGTTTGTTTGCAATCGTTTGCTGCCAGCTGCTCTAACAATTTTAGTCGAAAGAATTGTCAAAAACTGTTTTGAAACGCTTTTACAAAGCTCCAATCTTCTCTAGTGAGAGTGACTATTGTGGGCAACATCTTTTATTCGGCAACCTTTCTATTTGAGCTGTGTGTTAAACAGCTGTGCTTTCATCGGCACCTTGAAATCAGCAGCATTTTGTGGTGCGTGTGTTTCATTTCAAGAAAATTCTGCTAGATTGCTTTTTTTCAGGGGTAAAAATATAATCAAATTGAAACTGAAAGCCTAAAGAATCGTTTGAATGCATTCAGCGAAGTGTTTTCGTAAGAAAATTCAGTGAAATTATGGTTTCAATTTGGGTTGCCGAAAATAGTGTGTTATGCCGATGCCGTAATTTCCCCTACATTAATATATTTTAATTGAAAACTTTGATGGATCAATGAATACTTAAATAATATTTTTACTTCATTTATTGATTCATCATATTTCTAAATACAAATTTTGTCGATGTTGACTAGAAAAAATCATGCTGTATTGATTTTTGTTGCAATGTATATTCAGATATTGTTTCTTTAAGTAGTTGAAAATTAGATCTGATTACGATTCGGATAAGAGTTACATTACTCTTAATAAAGTGTTAGTTTATCACATGGTCATGATTGTCATGAAACAAGTTTTTTTTTATACATTATATGGCTTATAGTTTGGTAATATTGTATTGAAGTTCACAATCATTTATATGTCATAAATAAAACACTACCCCATTAGGTCATCTTCCAATATGGCATACATTAATTATCTCTTATGGTTTCGTGATTTTGTTCTCATATAATATAACATTGTCTGAATGATATACACATATCACATATCGTTACAATATGCATACAAGTTAAAACCGTCGTTTTCAAGTCCCTAATCACATTTTGAACCTCAGTAAGGCACAGCCAAATTTATAAATCAGCAACAACAACAACAACAACAACCCAAAGAGAACAGAGCGTCCCTCTCCCATGTGCGCACCTCGAACGGAAATATGCGAGCGTACCTTCCAGCTGGAGAACAACCCGAACCGAACTTTCAACGTGGTGCGGCTTAATCGAGGTGCCTTCTACCGATACACTCACACCGCGCGATCGATCAAACCGAAACTCTGAGCTCTTCGTCGTCGTCGTCGACCCTCCTGCTGTGGGGTGGTGTCCAACGGACCACGGCTGGCAAATAGGGGATTTGTTATTCCAACCCACCTCGAAGCCGAGCATCGCGCGCGCCAGTTCTTCTCTCTAGCTCTTTCGTTCGCGTTTGATGGGCTTTCGGCTGCAGACCGTGGCAGCCCGGCGTCGTCGTCGCCGCCGCCGTCGATTCAGTCAGCCAAACCCAAACCGAGAGGTGGATTAAAATTATGCTTTTTGTTTTGCTCTCGATGTAGTTTCGTGGAAAGAGTTTCGGCAAACGGACACACGGACGCAAACGACGACGCGCCGTCGCGGATTACTCGCAACAATTGTTCGCTTTTGGGTGAGGATCTTCGAAGCGCCGCAGGAACAGGTGTCGTAGATTCCGTGATCTACGGGCTACCGAGAGCAGCGTGCAGTGCCGTCGCGTCGCGATTATTCAAACCTGGATTCGAGAGGGGCCTCCTAATGAATGCACGCGCGATGATTACACTTAATTGCAGTGTTGATGGGTAGCAATTGTGTTGTTTATGTTAATTAAATTAATTCAATCGGGGAAAACCTATCATTTGGCTGGCCTCTGATCCGCGAGCGAGCGCCGTTGAAAGAAGTTGGACCGCCCATCCGAAGCAGCAAGTCGCGATCAACACCCAGGTATGTGAGGATCTTTTGGAGTTGCTGTTGAAAGCAAGGATTATGGAGGCGTGAAGAAGAAAACAAAAAAAGTAACGAATAAAGAAGAGAAATGATTCGCCGGGGAACGCCGCCAAGAGTGACAGTGAAGCTAATGTGAGCGCACAAATGGTTGTAAATTAAATAATTATTTCATTAGCGCACACGGTGCGATGCGGTGGTGGCAGTGAAGGTTCCGAAAGCCGTAATCGTAGGGAAGAAAGCATGCATGATGATGCATTGAGTTTATTTTCGGAGCGGAACGAAGACAGAATGGGCGAAGATCGGGCGGTTTATTAGCGAGCAATAACGCGGGAGGTGTGAACAAAACGTTTGAAAGAGGAAAACGGAAAAAGAATAGTGAATTTTAAGTGATTCAATGTGCTTTACAGTGTAGAGAGGAAGTGAAACTGTGATTTTTGGTTTAAGTGCAAGGATGGATATGTCCGGGACCATGTCGGGGGCGAATTCGCTCAACATGAGGCCACTCTTCAGTGGATACCCTTTTCAAGGTAAATAAGATGTGACTTGATGGTGAATTTGTAGTAAATAAAGCTTGGTATTACTGTTAACCGTAACAACGATGCCACTCTGAAGTTGTGTGTATTTTTTTCTATTAAAACCTCCACTAGAGTATGCACTTAATGTGGTTCATTTGTGAAATGTTTGACTCTAATTTGGTCGTGTGATCTTAAATTGTTAACACATTTTATGCAACTTGAATCAAAACAACGGATCCTGCATGAGGGCAAAATCTAAGAGATCGCTTAAAAACAGAATTGAGTGTATTATAGGACATGGGACCTCTCTCAGCCAAGTAAATAATGAACCAGATACAAACCAAAACCCTTCTGAATCCCGGTCTAATCTAATCTAATCTAATCTAATCTAACACCAACAGAGCCAGTTCTTGAAAACATCATGGAAAATTATGGGTACCCAACAAACAATTCAGAGTCACAAATAAGCATATATATTGAATAATAACTGTATTACAGCATACAATGCTGAATTAAACGGGTTGTCAAATTATGTGCTGAAAAAAGCTCAATGAGATCGATCGATGTACCTTTATTCCACTGTTTGCTGTGGTCTGATTAATTTACTTATTAAAAGCTGTATAAACGTTGACTGTCTCCTGGATTCAACACAGGAAGTTTGATCTAATAATAAACTGAATACATGTAACTGTTCGGTAAAAGCTTGAAAATCTTTTAAAAATCCAATATTTAGAAAATGTATGCCAAGCTTGTACGGACTTTGTTTAGCTTACCCCATTTAGCTATAAAATATAAAATTTGTTAATTTTATTGATTTATCACGTTTAACGGTCATTTGGAAATTTTCCCGACTTGATCTGCTGTCCAAAAACCCGGTAAAACTCTACTGACTTCGGGTGATCTGAATTAAATGTGTACATTGACGCTTTAATCCGACTGACTTCAATTGATTTAATAACAATGTTTATTACACGTCTAATAAATGTTTTCTAGCTCCATTATTGGATTTCATTACTTTTCTTTACAATGTCACTGAACAAAGGTGAATACGGTCAGCATAATAACTCACTATGCATGCTTTCTAAATGCTTTATAAACGATATATTAGATTCATTATTCCACAACACTGGTTCACTATAACAACAAGATGAAATAAGTAGAGTAGTGGTTACTGTTTCCGCTCTCCAAGTAATCGCCCATTTCCGATTAGAAAAGATCAATAATATCAATGATTTTACTGTGCACAAATCAATAATATGTTTGTTCCGATTCGTTAGTTCATTAGTTACAACATAAATCCTGTTAGAGTGCATTGTATGACTATTTACGCTCATTGTTCTCAAAACAAAAGAAGCGCTCCTAGCGAATTCCCCTTTTCTACGTTTATCCGTAGGACGACGAAATACCAATGGCGTTTCAATGCGTTTGGACGGAATTGAAACTCGTAAGACGAATTTTTAATCAAGAAGCAGTAGGGGAAATGACGGCTTCGGCATGACAGACTATTTTCGGCAACCCAAATTGAAACCCTATTTTCACTTGATTTTCTTACGAAAACACTTCGCTGAATGCATGCAAACGATTGTTTATGGTTTCAGCTTCAATTTGACTATATTTTTGCCACTGTGAAAAAGCAATCTAGCAAGGTTTTCTTGAAATGCAACACACGCACTACAAATTGTAGCTGATTTCGAGTTGCCGATAATAGAACAGCAGATTTACATGCAGTTCAAATGGAACGGTTGCCGAAGAAAAACTGGTTGCCGACAATACTCGCTCTCACTAGAGAAGATTGGAGCTTTGTAAAAGCGTTTCAAAACAGTTTTTGACAATTCTTTCGACTGAACTTGTTAGAGCAGCTGGCAGCAAAAGATTGTAAACAAACCAATACTGCATATGTGTGCGTTCCTTAGAGAAAAAGGCTATAGAAAGAAGGTCGCTGCTTAGGTTGCCGAGAATACGTAAATTCCCCTATTATATTTTAAACTATTCTCAACAATTTGAGACTCTTTATCAAATCTAACGGTACGTATGGAAAGGTAGATAAAATTTAAAAGTCATCTTTGACATAAATATTCCAGTTTTTTGTTTAAACTCGTTCAAAAAAGAGAAGTAAAGCGCGGGTTGTGCTTAGTAGGACGGAAATAAAATCAAAAACCCTAGAAGGTCACGAGTTCAATCCCAAGCTCAACCCTTTTTTATTTGTGTTCTACGCCTAATTAATTTGAATTGTAATCATCGATCACATCACTCATGATAACGAATGCTTCTTCTTCTTCTTCTTCTTCTTCTTCTTCTTCACATTTCAAGCTTAATGCATATCGCATATTAGCTTATTGCGTGCTGTCAACTTAGTGTTCTAGACGCACTTCCACAGTTATTAATTGAGAGCTTTCGATGCCTGTACCATTTTTGCATTGGTATAATTTTGTGGCAAGTCCAATCATACTTCTATGTCCAGGGAAGTCGAGATGTTTTCCAACCCGAACAATTCCTAGACCGGACCGGGAATTGAACCCAGTCACCTCCAGCATGGTTTTGCTTTGTAGCTGCGCCTTTACCGACTGAGCTAAGGGAGGCCCCTTGATAACGAGTGCATTGATCTAGTTTAACACTCCGAATACGATGCCTCCGAAAAACGTGTAACGGAAAGTTTACAATAGCATAACTTAACCATTTCTTGATGAATTTAAAAAATTGTGGTACTTCTAGAATTTCTAGGGCCTGTTGATTATTTTTACTGTAAAAATATTAAAAATAGAGTCGTCTACTTTATTCAAAAGCGAAAAGAGTCGTTACACGTGTTTTTTTAAGGAAGTGTTTATGGGTTTTGCAAGTTGGCTGAGATCCATAAATAACATTAATGGGCACAAATGTTCATAATTAGCCAGAATACAGTCATGGTTCCTATATATGGATCCTGGTGAGAACAGAACGGTCCTCCGGAAGATTCGGATCATCCGTAAAATTGGTCAATCCACGAAACTGATCCTAGAGCTCCACGGTTTTTTTTTTCGAAAACATTAGGAGCTGTGATATAAGAAAGAATTTGGGTTCATGACATAAACACGGACGCGGATGGCCATGAGAGCGTGCTCAGGAAGATCCGAAACATCTGAAAAAGTGGTCAATCCACGAAACTGATCCTAGATCTCCACGTTTTTTTTCGAAAACACTTGGAACTGTGATATAAGAAAGAATTTGGGGTCGTGACATAAAAATGTATCCGGATAGCCACAGGATCGTTCTCCGAAAGATCCGGAATATCCGTAAACGTGATTCATCCAAGAAACTGTTTCTAGAGCTCCGCGGTTTTTTTTCGTAAACGCTAGTAACTGTGATATGAGAAATAATTTAGGCTCGTGAAATAAACATGGTCCCGGATGCCCATGAGACCGTCCTCCAGAAGATCCAATAGATCCTTAAAAGTGCTCCATCCATGAAACTGATCCTAGAGCTCTGCGGTTTTTTTTTCAAAAGCACGTGGAACTGTAATATAAGAAAGAATTTGGGGTCGTGAAATAAAAATGGAACCGTCCTTCGGAATGGCTGAGCATTGGTAAAACTGATTCTAGAGCTCTGTGGTTTAATTTTAATCTCTTGGAATTGTGATTTGAAAAAAAAAATTGGTCGTGACGTAAACATGGACCTGGCATGATACCGTCCTCTGGAAGATCTGGAACCTCATTAAAAGTGGTAAATCAATGAAACTGATCCTAGAGCTCCGCAGTTTATTTTTAAAAAAATATTAGGAACTGTGTTAAAAGAAAGAATTTGGGATCATGGCATAAACCTGGTCCAGGATGGCCATTGGACCGTCATTCGGAAGATCCTGAACATCCGTAAAAGTGTTTCATACATGAAACTGTGTAAAAACCGTGATTTTATCGAACACTTCACAGTTCGAAGTGCTCTCGAGAAAACCGCGATGTTCTAGAATCAGTATCATTGATGCACCACTTTTACGGATCTTCCGGAAGACGGTGTCATGGTCATTCAGGTTCTTGTTTATGTTACGACCCCAAATTATTTCTTATATCGCAGTTCCAGGTGTTTTCGAAAGCAAAAAAAAAATAGTGGAACTCATGGATCAGTTTTATGGATTGACTATTTAACGGATGTTCCAGATCTTCCAGACGACGATCCCATGGCCATGCAGTACATGTTTATGCCATGACTCCAAATTCTTATATCACAGTTCAAATGCTTTCGAAAAAACCATAGAACTCTAGAATCAGTTTCGTGGATTGACCACTTTTACGTATGTTCCGGATCTTTCGGAGGACAGTTTCATGGCAATCAGGGTCCATGTTTGTCACGACCCCAAATGTATTCCCAGTGTTTTTCTAAAACTGCGGAGCTCTATGATCAGTTTAATGAATTAACCACTTTCACGGATGTTTCGGATCTTCCGGAGGACGGTCTTATGGCCATACAGGTTCATGTTTATGTCATGACCCCAAATTCTTTCGTATATCACAGTTCCTAATGCTTTCGAAAAAAAAAAACCACAGAGTTCTAGGATCAGTTTCATGGATTGACCATTTTTAAAGAAGTTCCAGATCTTGCGGAGGACGGTCCCATGGCCTTCTAGGTACATGTTTATGACATGACCCCTAATTCTTTCTTATAACATAGTTCCTAATATTTTCTTTAAATAAACTGCGGATCTCTAGGATCAGTTTCATGGATTTACCATGTTCCGGATCTTTCGAGGACCGTTCCGTTATCTCCAGGTTCCATATATATAGGAACCATGACTGTATTTTTGCTAATTATGAACATGTGTGCCCATTTATTCAAAATGTGGATCTTAAGCCACTTGCAAAACCCATACCCTAGTAGCACGCTTGTCACAATTCAGTTATATTAACTTCTATACAACTCATCTTAGTCGTAAACAAGTTGCTTTCACTTTTCGTTACAGAAATGTGCTACTCGGGTAAACACACCTTAAAAAAAGTGTACCCGAGCAAAGTCGGATATCAAAATACTATCAAAATGATATCTAA